CCTCATTCTCCCCATCCTCGCACACGGATCCCCTCCCTTCGGAAGCGCGCACGCCAACACTGGAAAACGGCACCATTTCTTCTCGGATAACGTGCAATGCAGCCATTCGACTCGCCGCCGTTGTGTTGACACTAAAACGCCGAAATACAGTCATCAAAAAAGGTCAGTTTCTGCTTGTGGATTGCTCTTGACTGGGCACATTTCGTTTACGTTGAGAGCCGGTTAAAATACAAATGCTATTTTTTTTTTCATGGAAGAATCCAATGTGGCTGTTTTGCGAAGCAGCATAATTAATTAGTGAGGATTGGTCCTTTGTCCCCTCTCACCCCCCACCGCTTTGTTCTTTATTGTTAGTTTGTGTGTACATATGGCGTGTGTTCACCTGCGTAGCTGCTTTTACCACATGCAATGCACTGTATATACGTGTGTGTGTGTGTGTGTGTGTGTGTGTGTACTCTATTGGCTTGTTTGTGTCTCACCATTTGTCGTCATGGCAATACCATTATGTTTAATTTGTGCAGCATTCGTGTGTTTCAACCTCTTTGCCAGCAAAGAATTCTGGGTGTCCGGACAAAAAGTAAATTCTTCATGTGAAAAAGAAAAAGCCAAGGCTTAAACATTAAAAACAACATAAAACTGTGAACCTCTAACATAGTCAGCATTCGCAAATTCACATTGTTAGAGATTTTGCATCGCTGGGCACCACTGATTTAGAGGGGTTGGTTGTCGGAAATATGTCCTGTGTCTCAAGCTTTGTCGTAGCCTGTTACTCACTCTCTCTCTCTCTCTCTCTCTCTCTCTCTCTCTCTCTCTCTCTCGAGCTAAATGTGCATGAAGACCTTTTTTTTTTTTTAATCACTGAAAACATTGACAATGTACTGTGATGATGCAATAATGAATATATTGGGACCAAAGATATATGTAGTGTTGTGTACCATGAATATTTGAGATAGGTGGAGGGGAGACAAAACTATGGCTTGGCCAAAAAAATATATATATATTGTGCAGGGAATGTTTCCTTTTATCAACACATATCACATTTGTTGTCATGCCAATTCTGATTGGACCTCTTCTGTTCCCTTCGGTACGCCAGCTGTTGTTTTTCTTTTCAATCCTCCCGGCTGTCAACATGATGCCCGCGTCGTCTCCTTCCGCCTGGCCCGGAGAGGAGCGACCGTCTCTGCTGGACCAGGAGGAGCCCGATTTGAGCCAAGTGTCTGTGGCCATCCCGTGCCCCTCCGTAGGAGTGGGCGAGCAGCTCCTATGCAGCAGCAGCCCGGCCGGCGCCGGACCCCCACGCAGCAAGTCCAAAGGGGAGCTGGTCATCGTCATCAACGAGAAGCTGAAGAGCAGTGAGTGTTGATGTAAATAACACAAAATGAGCTGTGTTTCATTAAGTCAGCCAAAGAACTTTGTTGAAGAGGATTATTTTGACCAAAGTAGGACTTGGAAATGATCATATGACAAATAACTCAAGCAAGCTATTTTTTTTTGTTTGTTTGTTTTTAACTTTCTGGAAAGTAGTCATATTGGAATTGCGAGAAATCCGTTGTGGCCCCCAGGTAACGGGGTCCTCGCCAGTGAAAACCCCTCCCCCGTGGTCTCATCGCCTCCCCGGCGTCAGCACTCCATCTCATACCCGCACCATGCCAAGACCAGGAAGGGCAGTCGGGCGGGCTCCATAGCCTACACCGCCTTCTCCCCCAGGCCCTCGCTGTCCCGCCACTCCAGCATCGCCACCAACCCCCCCTTGGACCGCACCAAGGTGAAGGACTACCTCCTGCTCTCCGTGCTGGCTTGTTTCTGCCCCGTGTGGCCCATTAACATCGTGGGATTTGTCTACTCCATCATGGTGAGAGTACATGGTTTCAGCTGAGGGGGAGAAAAACCCCAAAGTTGTCCCCTTTGACTGACATCCCCCCCCCTCCCCCCTTCTTCCTCCCTCCCAGTCCAAGAACAGCTTGGAGCAAGGGAACTTGGATGGCGCCGTGCGTCTGGGCCGCGTGGCCAAGATGCTGTCCGTGGTATCGCTGGTGGGCGGGACGCTCATTATCATCGCCTGCATTGTCAACCTGGCCAGTGAGTGTCCCAAATCTGACCTTTAAGCTTTCCATCTTCCAGCCCCCTTTTTTTTTTCTTTACCTTCTTTGTGCTGATTCACTCCTATGAACTTTTCCTTCTTTATATGAGATGTATTTAAAAGGGGGGGGGGGATTGACTGCAGCGCCCCCAACCCACACATACTCACACACTCAAAAATGCTTTCATGCATCGCAGCGATCCACTTTATAACAAATAAGGGGTGAAAAAAACTGAAGGAAAGAGCTGGATTGCCACATGATTCATGCGGGCTTTTGTGACTGCCATGTCATCTTTGCCTCGTTGGCCATCTGTGAACATTTTCAACCCTGTTGACATAGTTTCTCCTCATTTCTTCAACTATATGGTAGTAGTTCCATGTCATATAGTGCGTCGATGATACTGACCCATTCACCTGCTGTTGGAGTCCCCGGGAAGCCATTTCCTTGTAATGGCCTCTTGATATGCTGCAAGCATGATGTGAAGAAGGCTGCTTGCCTTCCCTGAACACAGATTCTCCTTATAAATAGCCCCCATGAAGTAGGCACTTTTCTGACACGTCGTGTGTGTGTGTGAGAATCAATATTCATCTCATAATATGACCCAAAAAAAAACATTGTAAAGTCAATTGAGAGAGTTTTGTCCTGATCATGCGCCACCCTTCCATCTCTGTGATGTTTTGCCTTTAGCTCCTGTTTCCATCTCCGTTTAATCCCGTTGTTTTCTCCATCTGACATATCTTTTGCACGTCCGACCTCCTGCTTCAAACGGTTGCATGCCACAGAGCTGTGTGCGGGTGTGGTCTGCTGTTTGCTTGTACACGGTGTGAAGCGTCTTGTTATCCCCTGTCGCACACGCCCGACCAGTCTGATGTATCTTCCTGTGTCTGGCTAATAAAAGGATTCCCATAACACATCTTTGATGAGTTCACTTATAAGCCTGGGGTTTGAATTAATTTTTTTTTTTTTAACACGATACCTTTTGCAATGTAAGACAAAAATGAATAACACATTCAATCCCCAAAATATTGGTTTTAAAATTCAGTTATTTCTATTCCTTTGTAAAGTGTTATAAAGTTTCATAATGGACGAAGTATTGTAAAACAGTCAAATAGTCTGCCTGTAAATCACATTTTTATTGTAAGCATTCAGGGACGAAAAAAGTTGTTTTTTTTTGTTCTTGGCTGTTTATTTAAAAATTGAATTCCATATTGGAATTCCATTTATAATCGGTATGGGCCTGGGGGGAAAAAAAAATCAATTTCAGTCTTTATCCAGTGTCTCTCTCTCTCTCACACACACACACACACACACACACACACACACACACACACACACATATTGTGTACATGGCCAATAACTTGCGCAGCAGCTCGCCAACTAACCCACTTCCTTTTCCTTCTTTTAGTCAATGTGAAAACCTGAGTTTCATCCCGAGATGAAACGGGATAAGGCAGCCGCATCCCGACCGGGCCGCACCTGCACCGCCTGTCTTTTACCAACTAGTTATTACCTGGATTTGTGACTAAAACCAAACGCAGCCCCTATATTTCTAGCCCTTCGATCTTACAGAAGTCTGTTTTTGCTCATGGATGACAACATGGCCCCCCCACCCCACCAAAAAAAAAAAAAATGGTGCAGAGTCACAAGGGGGAGGCAAGAGGGAGGGATTGTGAACGTCCGCCTGGTTACTGTTGGAGGATGGAGACAAACTGATTGGTCCCCCAAGTCTCAGTGGACACTTGGACTGCGGTGATCCCAGGACGCGCTCGCAGCATGCCAAATCCCCTCAGATATACGGAGACGCCCCCCCCCCCCTCACTATCTCCTTCCCAGAGGAGAAAGCGTCTCCATCACCTTGTTCTGAGACTGCGCCTCTCCTTGCCATGATCAAACGGAGCCTTACCGAGACGGGGGGGATGGGGGTGCTTTTGGGGATGGAATCCCACAGGATTCCGCGAGACTTGTACGCACTAAAGGGATCAGACGTGCCAAAATTTTCAAGTTGAAAGTCTCAAATGTTTTCACGGGGTCAAAACGTTCCGCAATCTTCTTAACGCTGCCACCTTTCAAGCACTGTGAGTCCCGCCATTGAAACTGTTGCATGATATGCGCTTGGGACCCCTACGACAGTCTGACATCCAGTAAAAAGATTCAACTTGGGTGAAAATCCACTGAAGCACTCGAAACAGTGGACCCGTCCGTCCGTTACGTGGATCACATCGACCCAACATTCTCGGTTGTTTTGTACAAAACGATCCATTTTATTTTAGAATTCTTATATTCATATATTTTTTTCCCTTCTCCCTGTTGGGTAAAAAAAAAATTGACTGATCCACTACTTGACCCAAAATGACCCCCACTTGTTTTTTTTTTTTTTTCTTTCTTTCTATGTCACAATTTTTGTATTGGATGTCCTGAGATTATGCAAGAGTACTGAATGAAAGGGCCAGTGAGTGTGGTTTAACATTGAAAATCTCTCGGTCACAGGTTATCTTTTTGATAATGTTTGTAAAAGATCGTGTGTGTGTGTGTGTGTGTGTGTGTGTGTGTGTGTGTGTGTGTGTGTGTGTGTGTGTGTGTGTGTCGGCCATACTGTGTGTGCACGTTGTCTAAACAAAGGAGCAGGTGATTTCCATCCAAGTGGTGAAGGTAGCTTGCGTGCGCTGCTCCTCGGTCACGCGGTAGCTTTTTCGGCAAAAGTGCGTTTCGATTGCCAACACCCTTGAAATTATTTATGTACATTTCAAAAGACCCTTTGCTGTGTATTTTCAAAATATGGCTTTTCTCCAGTACTCCTGTGTACCCTTTGCCTGTGATTCTCACTGTGATGCAAACCACCTCGGCTTGTTACCCACTGTACACAATCGACTCCGATAAAGGCCAACGTGGCACTTTTTTTTCTTTTCCTCCCCTCTCTATTGTATGTTTGATCGAGTTATCGCGAGGTGTATATAATCCTCAATATAGTGATATGAGTTGAATAGTTGAGCAGGTGGAGACACCCGGGCTGTCCTATTTATCGACTAGCTACTCTCATGTTCTGATTGTCTTTGTGGTGACGGGCATGCCGTGGGATTTTTCATTCATTGTATGTACCACGAATTGGCACTTTGGAATATTATACTCATCAAGTAAATTTACAATGTCCACATTGCATGCCTGTGGATTGTACTTGTTTTTCTGCTGAAGAATCGTGGCGCGGGGTGGGGGGGGGACTTCAAACCCTCCCACAAAAGGTGAAAATCAGTGATGCAGAAAAACCAAATGCTTTTTAAACTCAAATTTTACCCCTCACTTATGCTTTCAACATGTTTAAACTTAATAAATTGCACAAAATGTATTCATTTTCAAGAATCTGTTCTCACTCTCACTTGCACATTCCTCCAAATGATGCCAAGCGTGCTTGCTTCAAGATATATTCGTCGTGCCCAGTTGAAAGCATACGAGAATTGCATCTTTAGATTAAAAAAAAGGCTCAATTAAATCCCATATCAATAATGAAAGTCTGCGAACCTAACTTTCACATATTATGCAAAACCTATGTCTGAAAATGATACATTTATGTGGCAAGATACAAGCAGAGAGCAGCATTTAAAAAAAAAAAAATGCCCTGGGCTGTGTTTACGTGTTGACAGGCAAAGCTACTGCACAGTATTGAAAGTCAGCTAATTTGACAGGAGCTACTGTACTGTAGCTGCTCACATTTGACCACGTAAGCACTAAGTGGGTCAGCGGGATTATATCCAGCTGGCTCATATCAGCGACCACCCGGCCGTGTGGCCGCCAGCATCCTGTCGCCCTGCATGCTCAAAAACAAATTAGAACCCAAAGAAAAAAATGACACATTTGGGGATTACATTCTTCACCTACTGTGCTGCTTTCGCCACTGTCAACTCTGCACCCTCCAGTTCAAGTTACCAGGTTTCTGTGATATATTAAAAGAATCCAAGTTCAACTAAAGCCTACTTGAACATCTGAGCTTTAATTGGGGATAATCAGAAGCAGTTTAAAAGTAGCGTAGATTTTATCTAGCCAGTCTATGAGCCAGTGCGATCCTGTTGTTCAACGAACTTCTTCTGGTGTCCCTCATATTGTGAGTGGTGAGTATGTACGGACGAACCTCTTTTGAACGTGCCCCACTTCAGTTTTCATCCCCCATTTCAAAGTCTCGATTTCGCAGTCCACATACAAAACGGTCTTCTAATTGAATATGTTTATATGTTTATCCACCCAATTACCGATTGGCAAATAAGCGGGCTGTAGTGTCCTCTGAAGGCTGCAGATTTAAATTGCACAGAATCCAAACGGTATTTCTTGCTGGCTGTTTTACATGGACTTTCTTGAGATTTACTGAGATTGGACATGTCAGTGTAACGTTTCATATTTGGATTTAGCAATTCATTAAATCCCTAAATTGACAAATGTGGCGAAATGCCTTACAGGTTCATTTTCTCAATGTCTTTTTTTTTTTTGGTAACGGCAAAGTCATTGTTGTGGCACCCATAAATATTATGTCATACTCTTTCCAGGGGCTCGCAAGTCACAATGGTGTCAACAGAACATTCAAAGGTGGGCAATTTCCATCGTGGCTGGAACACTTGCACGGCTCTCAGGTTTGTGGGATTCATCTTTATTTCTTCAGTAAAAGAAAAATGAATGCAAAATTTTTTTTTTTCTTTTTTCTTAAGAGGCAGAATCATTTGGTTGTAGTTCAGCCCCCGTGGCCTGGAGTCCAGTTGCTTGATGTCACATGTCAGATTAGATGATGTTGTTGTTGTTGTTGTGTTGCTGCTCTTCTTGTCTGTATCTCTCTGTGTGTGTATCCGTGTTGACACAATTATTGCTCACACACGTCAACTCAGTCAAACTCGACAAGACAGACGAGATCAGCTTTTAGATTTGTGGGGTGAAACGTGCAGTCGTACATTCGGCCTCTAAGGGGCACTATTGGATTTATTGGCCGTATGGAAGGAAATGAGAGGATAGCACAAAGCAAATTCATAAGAACAATTTATGCACTAAAATAAACCATGCTCACTTGAACTTTCAGAAGAACAAACACCCCTACGTCCAAACGATATATATTTTTACAGTTTTTTTTTTTAAAGCATGCCTCACACACAAGTATGCGTCTTTCCTTTAACGCCGTCCACAAATAAAAAATGGTTGCTTTGGAGAATGCTCTGTGCTTGGTTAAATGTAAATTACAGAAAACCTCCACACGAAATTGCTTTGTTTTTAGGACGAGATTACCCTTCGTCGTGCCCAGTTGAAAGCATACGAGAATTGCATCTTTAGATTAAAAAAAAGGCTCAATTAAATCCCATATCAATAATGAAAGTCTGCGAACCTAACTTTCACATATTATGCAAAACCTATGTCTGAAAATGATACATTTATGTGGCAAGATACAAGCAGAGAGCAGCATTTAAAAAAAAAAAATGCCCTGGGCTGTGTTTACGTGTTGACAGGCAAAGCTACTGCACAGTATTGAAAGTCAGCTAATTTGACAGGAGCTACTGTACTGTAGCTGCTCACATTTGACCACGTAAGCACTAAGTGGGTCAGCGGGATTATATCCAGCTGGCTCATATCAGCGACCACCCGGCCGTGTGGCCGCCAGCATCCTGTCGCCCTGCATGCTCAAAAACAAATTAGAACCCAAAGAAAAAAATGACACATTTGGGGATTACATTCTTCACCTACTGTGCTGCTTTCGCCACTGTCAACTCTGCACCCTCCAGTTCAAGTTACCAGGTTTCTGTGATATATTAAAAGAATCCAAGTTCAACTAAAGCCTACTTGAACATCTGAGCTTTAATTGGGGATAATCAGAAGCAGTTTAAAAGTAGCGTAGATTTTATCTAGCCAGTCTATGAGCCAGTGCGATCCTGTTGTTCAACGAACTTCTTCTGGTGTCCCTCATATTGTGAGTGGTGAGTATGTACGGACGAACCTCTTTTGAACGTGCCCCACTTCAGTTTTCATCCCCCATTTCAAAGTCTCGATTTCACAGTCCACATACAAAACGGTCTTCTAATTGAATATGTTTATATGTTTATCCACCCAATTACCGATTGGCAAATAAGCGGGCTGTAGTGTCCTCTGAAGGCTGCAGATTTAAATTGCACAGAATCCAAACGGTATTTCTTGCTGGCTGTTTTACATGGACTTTCTTGAGATTTACTGAGATTGGACATGTCAGTGTAACGTTTCATATTTGGATTTAGCAATTCATTAAATCCCTAAATTGACAAATGTGGCGAAATGCCTTACAGGTTCATTTTCTCAATGTCTTTTTTTTTTTTGGTAACGGCAAAGTCATTGTTGTGGCACCCATAAATATTATGTCATACTCTTTCCAGGGGCTCGCAAGTCACAATGGTGTCAACAGAACATTCAAAGGTGGGCAATTTCCATCGTGGCTGGAACACTTGCACGGCTCTCAGGTTTGTGGGATTCATCTTTATTTCTTCAGTAAAAGAAAAATGAATGCAAAATTTTTTTTTTTCTTTTTTCTTAAGAGGCAGAATCATTTGGTTGTAGTTCAGCCCCCGTGGCCTGGAGTCCAGTTGCTTGATGTCACATGTCAGATTAGATGATGTTGTTGTTGTTGTTGTGTTGCTGCTCTTCTTGTCTGTATCTCTCTGTGTGTGTATCCGTGTTGACACAATTATTGCTCACACACGTCAACTCAGTCAAACTCGACAAGACAGACGAGATCAGCTTTTAGATTTGTGGGGTGAAACGTGCAGTCGTACATTCGGCCTCTAAGGGGCACTATTGGATTTATTGGCCGTATGGAAGGAAATGAGAGGATAGCACAAAGCAAATTCATAAGAACAATTTATGCACTAAAATAAACCATGCTCACTTGAACTTTCAGAAGAACAAACACCCCTACGTCCAAACGATATATATTTTTACAGTTTTTTTTTTTAAAGCATGCCTCACACACAAGTATGCGTCTTTCCTTTAACGCCGTCCACAAATAAAAAATGGTTGCTTTGGAGAATGCTCTGTGCTTGGTTAAATGTAAATTACAGAAAACCTCCACACGAAATTGCTTTGTTTTTAGGACGAGATTACCCCACGATAGCGGCCAAGCAGTCTTTTCAATGGCACAAGGCAAAGGTCAGATGAAATGAAACTCCTCCCCTCACTCCTACAGAGTCGGTTGACGCCAAGATGGTGCCAAAGCACTGTTTGGAGAAACATCAATGAATACTTGTGACGAGTGAGGCAAAACTACGCGTGATGCTATTCGTGCAGCAGTTTACTGGAGAGATTCCATTGCATCCTTGGCCAAAAGTGGCCTAATAGTGGATATTTATTTTTAATTTTTTTCCTGAGTAAGACAGACTCTACTAGTGGCTGAATTGTCTTACTAGTGAGGAATAGGCGCAATACTAGTTCATTGCACATGGAAAAATGCTGAAACTACTACTACAACTACTACTATTTCTTTGTGTGTATTTTCCAGCAGTCTGGATGGATGCCCTGAAGCACCATGCTGCCTCTTCACAGGTCAGTTTTGGTATGCCAACAAACATTTGGTTGTGTGTCTTGTTGATTGTTAAAAAAAAAAAAAAAAAAATCGGAACGAGTGCTCCTCGCTCAAGTTTTGTAATTTTGGGGTATTTTTTTTTTACAACTTGAAGCACATTCGAGAAAAAAAAAACATACATCATGAACATTATCTTGCCATCAAAAGAGTGCAACTGGCAACAACGGCAGCTCGTTTTTTTTTTTTTTTTCTTTTGAGTGGACGTCAGCAACACGGAACATGCAAACGATTGACAAGAAGTCATGAACGTGGAAGAACCGATTCTCCTTTTCCAGTTTATTGAGCTGTCAACAGCGCGTGCTGTGACAAGCTCAATCGATTCAAAATCCAATGTTGCACAATGTCTCTTTGAAGATCCTCGGAGCGTTGCGGCAGTGCGAGCGAGACGCGCGCGCGGTTTTATCTGATCAACATAACTGGTCCGGCTTAATGGGATACACAAATCCTCCATCTCGCTAAATGTTCTTATTTCCTGCACGGTTTCACGGCAAACAGAAAAAAAGAGCCGTAAGAGCCGCGATTCCCCACTTCCGTGACTTTCGAAATAAACAGGTGTGGCGAGGGAAACGATCCAATTTCATTGTAAGAATATATATCTTTGCACATCTATCTTATGCCAGCGACGCGGAGTGTCAGGAAGCACGATGACATTTTGTTCCAGCAGATGGCAGAAGGTATAATTAATTTGCGTAGCCCTGACTGCGTTGCCTTTCACATTTTCCTATTTTATGAGTAAATTGAGCCAGGGTAGTCGTTGGCGACAACCCAACTGCTTGTCCTGCTGTGTGTTCCCTTGTAAACGCGTTTTTAATCCCCTCTATCTGCAAATAGGCAACTTTCGGACCACCCAAATTCACAGAAAGCAACAATGGATCGACTTATAAAAAGCAGCTTTGTGCAGGTTGTGGTGACCAGGCCTCTCATGATGTGTGTCTCAACTTGCTTTTCTCTGACAGAGGCCTTTTTGCTTTCATGAATGATGAAGTCATTGGTGAAGCCGGTGACAATCGTGTAGAAATCCTTCTTTCTTGCCGCCGCGGTGTGTTGTCATCGGTCGGACGCACGGTCCTGAGGGGGCGCGTTTGAGGGCTACGCTTCATTCCTGCGCAGTGGAGCCGGGCAGCTCGTTGGTCAGCGTGTGCCAGCGTTCCACCTTCTTGCCCTTGTTCTTCAGGCAGTCGATCCAGTGCTGTAGGGTGTCGCCCTGTGAGTGGCACCCTAAAGAGACGCCCCCTGGCCGTCACAGAGACACCGGATGAGGTAAAGAAACGGAATTTGCATTTCTTCCCAGGTGCTCCTAAACAGCAATATGCACATCTCACAGGGACAACATCTGAAAACAAACCCTCCAGACCAGAGTATTCTCTATCGCTGCATTCGACGAAGGTGGGAAGACTGAATTTTCCGACTTCGGAGTATGAAAATTGCACCAGAACGCCCCAACCGCCTGACTTCACTGAGACGTCACTCGACAGTGGTGACTGACCCCTAATTAAAGAGACGGTGAGTGGCAAAACACAATTTACAAGATTCTAATAATCTGACATTGTTTATTATTAAGTTAGAGTTAACCGATACGTGATTAGCACTGACTCCGTGAAGATAAATTATTATTATTATTATTATTATTGTGCCTTTTTCTTTTTTTTTTTTTTCTTTTTTTTTTTTTTTTAAATAAATGAAGACATTTACCAGG